CAGCAGGAAGAGGATCTTTGATATCTGTTAAACTCAAAAGATATCAGACTCAAGAGTTAAGTCTTGCAAAATAGGAATATTGCAAGCTCTGAAGATGTACAGAAGTATGAATTCTTGTTTGCAAATCTGGCCCATAATATCGTGGAGAGCATAAAAGCCTTACTTTTTTTAAGTCATCTAAAAGAACCACATAAATACTAACTTTAACTTATCTACCTGCTGTCCCCCTGCCAAGATATGAACAATTGCTGTCAGGGTGTCTGGTTCTTTCACACCTAATTTAGCAAAGCTGCTTTGTTGCCTTAAGTAATTGTGAATAGCATCACAGAAAAGATAACATATCTTTAGAAGACTAGGATGTTTCTGCTTCTCTCTAGGTGTGATCCAGGAAATCAGGGCACTGATTGTCATCCAGAAACATCCTTGCCTTCAACTGTAATGTCTGATTTTGAGAATCCAAATGGTTTGAAGACTGAATGGCAGGAAGTCATTGGAGGAGAGATCGTAAAACCTGAACAAGGCTGTGGGGTCATCTCCTCAGGATCATCCCTATATTTTAACAAGGTACATAAAAGATCTGTTTAAATTAAGAAGAGTCTTATATACACGTGTGTGTACTGGTAGTTAAATGGAACAGAATGTGGAACTGAGAAGGAGGGTAGTGCTAAGAAGAGACCTAAGACGATGGCATGCAGCATGTAAGTGCATAATAGACACACAGAAATATGATGCAGGTGCAGAACAAAACCAAGATTGCCCTTTAACAAACAAAAGAGATTGGCAAAGACAGCAGTTGACTGTGCATCCGAGAAATACCATGCGTAATGGGAGGAAATAAATTGCCATCACTATACTCCAGAAATGGGAACCTTAGTCTGTTTATTCTTTGTAATGGGCTTTGTATATGCATTGTATTTTCTGTTTTCAAACTGCATTCTTTTGCAGTAACACACAACCCCCATTGGTACCTATTCTTGAATTTTCTTCTCCAAGCAAAGGAGCTAGCCTTGTTCTCAGAAAATCAGGTTTTTTTCCTGCACCCTGAAGGCATGCTGCTTCTTGTGAAGTCAGAGAACCAAAGCTGCTGAAAGTGCAGATATGTTACCCCTCCAGCCTTCTGGAAAATGCCTGATTAGCTCTTGTCAAATGGCTTTCTTTGCCTGGTTCAGATGGATCGTCCACAAAAATAACATGAAACAGCAAGGAAATTAGGAAATCTGCTTATCAATAATATGCAATCATATCAAAATAAAAGGTAGCTTTACAGCCAAATGTAAGATTGAGAAAGGCTTTGTGGTCACAGATTTTCTTTTCATCTTTCATTCCCTTGGCTGTAATATCTGACTTCATTACAAAAAGGAAAAGTACATAGTGCATGCACACATAGCTCTGTGGTTTTCTTTTAAGGTCTCAGTCCAGCTGCCACCACAGTCAAAGAAAGTTGGATCAGGTCCAGAGAAATATGCAAAGCCATGTGCTGTTTACCTTGTTACAAACATCTATCCCATGGAATAACCTTCAGAACTCCAATAAAGACTTGCATCCAAGTCCCCTGGAAAATCAATGGAGTGCTGAGAATTTCATAATAGACCCAGCAATATTACTAGCTAACTGAGATGGTAGTATTATTTTTCAATGTAATTGTCTTCTCTCATGGATGTACCTCCTTCTGGCTCAGTTCCTTAAGCAAATTTCTCAAAGTAGTTTGTTGAATTAGAATTAACCTGCTCTGATCTTTCTTCTTTCTGCTTAGGAAGAGTGAAAATCTCATTTAGAAATTCTTGGCTTCTTTCTATTGGTCTCAAAGGGTTAGGTTAGCATTTATGTCTTGAGGAGTAGCAGTCTGTGCCATCAACTGAAGGTAGCTTATTTAATTTGTGGTTAGGTCTTCTGGTTTTAATGTACCTAGCTACCATGGTGACAGAAATTATATAAATTATGTTTAATCCTTGGCTGACATTTGGGTGTTGTTCTGGGAGTGCATGTACATGTGCTGCTATTTGTTTGCATTTGTTCTACAAGACACCTTATACCTCGATTTCCAGCATTTCCTGCCATGAGCAGTCCCTGATTCCAGGATCAATTTTGGCTTAGTTCTACTGACCTCCTTGTTTGGGTGTTATAACTCATTTTAATCAGTTGTAGGTATGTTTGCAATATGGTGCTTTTTCATTTAGACCCCTACGTTTTCTTTGTGACTTTGCATACCTGAAGATCTTTTTTAATTAACCTAATTCTATTGGCTGGCTGTAAAAAGTGTGAAAGGCATAGGAAACCCATCTGGAATAGCAGTTCAGTTCTTTACATGGAGCTCAACTCACCCCTGCTCTCTGGGGAGGTGTGTATTGTTCACATAGGCCCTGGCTCACTGGAGATACAAGCACCTACAGAAGGTCAAGTATGTATACATTTCTGCCCTCCTTGGGGATTCAGCTTGATGGCAATAGCTGTACATTTCAGCTGGGTCTCCAAAGGAAACTGCCAGTAGAGGCACCCAGGGAAAGATTGATCAGTGTATCTCACCAGTATACTGGCCATGCTCACTTTTTGACTAGTGTTGTTTGTTAAGACTGTGCTAGCCAGCCTTGGACCCCACAACAGCGTGGGTGTTGCAGATATTCTGCATCACCATGACTGTCCTCCAGGAGGACTTTGCCCATTGGCAGTACTCTGCCGAGAAAAAATGTCATAACTCAAATGTGATCAGTATTTCTGTGTTTCAGTTAAGTGCTTGAGGGTTAAGGAATTCTTTGCACTAATTAACTTTGACGTTTTAAGCTAATAGGATTTCAATCACAGAGAGAGGTTCTTAATTCCATTTACTAAGAGATTCCATTTTTGAACATGTGAATGCATTGATATTGACCTGCTACATTCTATCACCAGGTCAGCATTCCCCCCTTCCTCCCTGCAACCTACCTGTCTTGCACCTATTGTCTCACAATCCCCCTGATCTTCATTGCCATTTGCATTCAACTATTTAGTTGGTCTAATAAAAGATATCACATTTACCCAAAGAACCTTATCTGAAGGCATTGATGCATTTAGCATCCTTGGTATAGTGTATAGCAGCCATTTTACAATCTAACCATATAACTAGATGTGTAATGCAGCCACTATACAATCTAATAGTTCATAATAATGTATAATACCAAGCCAAAATGGAAGGATTTGAGACCAAATTATTATTAACATTAGTGTATTCTTATTTTTTCATGAATGGCAGAAAGATTTAAATCCAACTCACCATCTTCTAAAGTATATCTTGGATTTTAAACTTCAGCACTGAACTTGTCTGTTGTCTATCATCAGGGTTGGAAATTTGTCAGGAGGGACTCATAGAGGGAGATGTGATAAAAATGTCAGAAATTACAGATGTGTTCTGAAACACTGAAATCACCCCTGTAACGCAACCCAGCTGTAACTCAACCTAGCTCCATCCCCAGATAATAGCATCATGAAAAGAAAGCCACTTTGTAGTTGGGAATGGGAGGGAATCTATGATTACCCCTACTCTTCTCCTTTATGCTCCTAACATCTTTCATTATCTGCCACATGATCCAGAGCTCAACTTTGTTTAAAGGGCCATATTACGTGGAAAATTTAGGTGGCTTCTGTAGTTCTTAACCCCTGGATTGGCTGCATGTTAACACCTTCAAGTGGCTTAAAACACTTGATATTCTGTTTTAAATTATGCCACTCCAGGGCAGGTTTATCTCTAATCTGCCTAATTGTGTTCCTATTCCATTTGTGTGTGGCCACTCCCTACTCCACCACCACTCCTACTTCCAAATCTTTTCATCAGCATGACCCCATTTAAACATTGGAAATTTTTACAACCCCACAATGATGCAGATAAGATCAATGCCCTCTCTCCCTGCAGCCAGAGCAGAGCCCATGGAGGTGGGGAGAATGCAGGCCACCTACTGCAGGCTCAGGGCTCCCCGCCCTACTGCCTTCCCTGGAGGGGCTTCCACAGCCCAGTGGGCAGGAGGGCAACAGGGCAGGGAGCCCTGAGCCCGCAGTAGGTAACCTGGACCTGCCTACACCCCTGTCCCACACACAAATCTGGGGGGGGCACATGCCCCCCCATGCCTCCCTCACCTAGGAGTATGCACAGCAGTGGGGAGACAACACCCCTGCCCCCCCCTGGATGAGCCACCCATGGTTCCATCCTGCTCCCCCAGCCAAGCACCGCATTCCTACTGGAGCACCTGGCAGCCATGGTGCCTCCTGCCACCTCCTGGACCAGCTCACTGCTTGAGCTCTGAGGGGCCCAATCCCTTTTTCTCTGAAGCCCACCCCCTGTACCACCCCCATTCGAGCTGCCAGCTGGCCAGGTGCTGGCTGAACTCCAAAAAGGATCAGACCACTTGGAGTTCAGGTAGCACCCAACTGGCCAGCAGCCCTTCTGGCGGCAGCATCGGGGCCAAACTCTGAAGAAAAACAGGATTGGGCTCCTCAGAGCTCAGGCAGCACCCAGCTGGCCAGCAGTTTGCCCCTCCACACTATCCCTGCCTGGGCTGCTGGCCAGCCAGGCGCTGTCTAAACTCATAGTATCATAGTACTTAGGGTCGGAAGGGACCTAAACAGATCATCAGGTCTGATCCCCTGCCCCAGGCAGGAATGGGTGCCGGGATAATATCACCCCAGCCAAATATCTGTCCAGCCTCCTCTTCAAGACCCCCAAGGTAGGAGAGAGTACCACCTCACTTGGGAGCCCATTCCAGACCCTGGCAGTCCTAACTATAAAGTAATGCCTCCTGATGCCCGGCCTGAACCTTCTCTCTAACAATTTGTGGCCCTTATTCCTACTAACCCTGGGTGGTGCCCAGGGGAACAGAGCTTCCCCCAATTCCCACTGGTCCCCCCTGGTGAGTTTGTAAACGACCACCAGATCCCCTCTCAGCCTTCTGTATAGGTTCGTGCCCTTTAGCCTCTCTTCGTAGGGCCTGCCCTGCTGCTCCTTGACCATGCGAGTGACCCTCCTCTGGACCCTCTCAACGCTAGCCCCATCCCTCTTGAAGTATGGCACCCAGAACTGGATGCAGTACTCCAACTGTGGCCTGACCAATGCTGCATAGAGGGGAAGGATCACCTCCCTGGACCTGCTTGTGATGGCAGGAAGTCATTGGAGGAGAGATCGTAAAACCTGAACAAGGCTGTGGGGTCATCTGTAGATGCACGGCAAGGTGCGGTAAGCCTTACTGACCACTTCCTCGCATTGGTGGCTCATGTTCATCCTGAAGTCAACAATAACTCCAAGATACCTTTCTGCCACCATCCACCATGTTGACAAGAAGGGTGTTCCCCAGCCTGTAAGTGTGTTGTTGGTTCCTTCTCCCTACATGCAGTACCTTGCACTTGTCCATGTTGAATTCCATCTTATTCTCATCTACCAACCTCTGTAACCTGTCTAGATCTAGCTGGATTCTGTCCCTCCCCTCCAGCATGCCCACCTCGCCCCACAACTTGGTGTCGTCAGTGAATGTGGACAGCATGCTTTCCACACCCACATCCAGATTGCTGATAAATATGTTGAACAGTACAGGCCCCAGGACCAA